TCATTATCAGTGAAATAAACTCTGGTCAAACTTTGATCCATAAAATAGTTTCCAAGAAACAGGGACCTTCCATTCTAGTGTATTTTACGACAGCTTCTTCATCTGCTCCACCTATTGACCGTGACTGAAAATACAGAATTAAATCTATGTCAACTTGTAACATGGTTTGTATTTATAGCTTCACAGATCACCTCCTTTGATGATGTTACAATTTTTAAAAAACAAGCTGTTGGTAGGTCAGCCTGCTTGACTATTCTCAGTGCTTGATAGTAAAACAAGAGTCTGGATAATGTCAAAGTTCAAAAAGGGCAATAATTCTGTCAAAATCCATGTCAGAGTTGACAATAGACAATGACCTCATAGTATGCTCTCAAATAAGTGTGAAGTTTCAAACCATTCCCTAAAGTAGTTTTGGAGATATGAACTTGCACGTAGAAACTTAACATTTGTGTGATGCCAAGGTGAGTACCTGGGTGAGTACATAAGCTCTCCTAACTCTTAGAACAGTCAAGCAAAAATCAAACTTTAAAAAATTTACTTAATACATTTTGTACAAATAGCGTAAGAAGTGCATAAATATTAACAATCCATATAACATTTTGCATCGGTTTATTTGGGGGCAACACAAGACTCAGACTGATAATACTTCTTGTGTCACCATATGTTTACCCTGTTTTTTTTAAAAAATGGACTTGTCTGGCTTTCAGCATCTCATATTTGTGTATATCATTAGTTAAGTTCTTTATTATAGTGACAGCTGCTTACAAACACATATATACAAATAGATATACACAGAACATCCTATTGGTCAACTACATTGCAAACTATAATCTGACCATATATAATACTTTTGACATATGACCTCCAACAGTTTTTTTCTACACTGCAGTTACCAATATTTCCAAAAATTTTCTCTTTATTTATAAGCATGTGAAAAGAGTAATACAACAAGAGCGATCAGTAATCACATGTGTCGCCTCATGATGGCCAATTTCATGTTGGGACAAATTTTGTGACAGACGGACAGTGCACAACTAGACTTGGTACTGATCATTCCTGTAAAGTTTGGATAAAATTGCACCAGTAGTTTATGAGGAGTAGTCCGGACAAGCTTTTGCGTATCTGGCAACACACAGAAAAAAACACCTTTTTATCAAAGGGCCATTACTCGGCCAAAAATAATTCAACCATAAGACCTGTGCAATATGCGCAAGGACTTGAGCTACAGATTAATCCTGTAAAGTTTCATTGAAATTGCATTAGTGGTATAAGAGAAGTAGTCCGGACAAACTTTAAAAATAAAAATTATTAAAGGGCCATAACTCTGACAAAAATCATTGAACCGGAAAATGCTGACAATATGCACAACTAGACTTGGTACTGATCATTCCTGTAAAGTTTGGATGAAATTGCACCAGTAATTTATGAGGAGTAGTCCGGACAAGCTTTTGTGTATCTGGCAACACACAGAAAGGGCCATAACTCGGCCAAACTGGTACTGATCATTCCTGTAAAGTTTGGATGAAATTGCACCAGAAGTTTATGAGATTTATTTAGCCTTAGATATTGTCATTCATTTGGTTCACATGCTATTAAAATAGTTGTAATAATTAACTTACGTGAAACAAAATAAGTCCCAGCCATCTGTTGAGTCTGTTAGCAAGTTCTAAAGCTTCTGCGATATTGTCACCCTCGGCACAAAACATTAAACATATGGCTACTGGTACATCATTATACCTACAATATAATATATATAAATTTATATATCGGGCCAGAGATATAAAACAAGAGGGCCATGATGGCCTTTTATTTGAACAAACTTTGTAGACACTCACTAGAAGATGCTTCGTGCTTAATATCTAAACTCTAGCTATTTGAGTTTTTTCAAAGAAGTTTTTGTTATACACATATAACGAAAATAAATGACCCCTGGGGCGGGGCCAATTTTGACCCCAGGGCTTTTATTTAAACAAACTTGGTAGACACTCACTAGAAGAATGTTTCATGACTTAGTAATCTAAACTCTAGCTATTTGCGTTTTTTTTCAAAGAAGATTTTTTTTAAGCTTTTGCCTATACACATCATAAGGAAAATCAATGACCCCGGGGGCGGGGCCAATTTTGACCCCAGGGCTTTTTATTTTGAACAAACTTGGTAGACACCGGTTTAGAAGATGTTTCATGCTAAATATCTAGCTTCTAGCTCTTTGGGTTCTTTAAAAGAAGATTTTTTAAGTTTTTACTATAATGCATATATGGAAAAATCAAATGACCCCCTGGGGCGGGGCCAATTTTGACCCCCAGGGCTTTTATTTGAACAAACTTGGTAGATCACTCACTAGAAGATGTTTCATGCCAAAAATATCTTAAGGCCTCTAGCTCTTTGGGTTTTTTAGAAGAAGCATATTCTAAAGTTTTCTCTTTTTGGTTGCCCATGGCAAACCAGAGTTCTGCATGGGAATTAAATTCTTTGAACAATTTTCAACAAGGTCGACCACCAAAGGAACATTTCCTGTTGAATTTGGATGATATTGGCCCTAGTGGTTTTATGAGGACGATGTCATTTAGAGAGTAAAAGTTTTACCGGACGACGGATGACGGCCGGACGCCGCGACAAAAAGCGCATTCAACAAAAACGCTCACCCTGTCACTTGTGACAGGTGAGCTTAAAAATACAAATTGAAGATTCTTTTTCATTTGTAAGGAAAATACTCTACATAGTACTCTTGGCTTAGTTAATGGATCCCAATTCTAGTCTTTAATCTTCATATTAGTTATTGTATTTCCAGTGTTTCTGCCAGCTCTGATTTTCTAAGGGTCTTTTATGACCCCCTGTATTAAATTTTAGGGGTCATTTCAAATTCTTAAGGGCCATACCAATAAATTGAACAAAAATGTAAAGAACAACAGATAACACTTGATAAGATTTATTTTCTAAGGCACTTTACTTCTTACCAGAAAAAATAGTTAGTTATCCTTTCTGATGTATATTAATTTATCTATACTCAGGCCCTACAGTGAGCATTTACTACAAGTATGCTATTGTTATTTGTAAAGTTGATTTTGATTTATATGTACCAACATGTTGTTCAACTATATGTGAATAAAATATTGTTAAATACTTGTTTTTGTGTTATATTTACAAAAAGTTATTTTTGTCAGTTTATTCACCAGTATATCATCAACAAAATTACACCCTTATAATTTTTGCAACTGCAACCACAATTTATGTTTAGATGTTGGCAGTTGTTGTTTTGCAAACCAGTATACAGATCTCATCACCCCTACGGCTGCTTCATAGTGCTTAGAAATGATGCTAGAAGTCTGGGGATAATCGTGAGTGACTATCTTGAGCAAGGTCGTACCATAAACTGTATGTACTATGAAGACGAATTGAGACGTTTGCCTCAAGAAATCGCAAGTAATAGGAGGGGCAAACTGACTCAAGGCGTTCTGCTCCTGCACGACAATGGGCCAGCTCACACATCCCAAGTTGGGATGGCTGCTGCAGCTGACTGCAGCTTTGAAAATTCTTTCTCATCCCCCATATTCTCCGGACTTCCACCTGTTTCTGAAACTGAAAACCAAGCATTGATGTAGGCCTTTTGGAAGAAATGAAGCTGTCATGGAGGTCACTGTCAATGAGTTCTTTGAGGACCAAAATAGAGAGTTCTATTTTGAAGGGTTAAACAAGTTTGAGCACAGGTGGGCAAAGTGCATTGATAAAGAGGGTGATTTAATGAAAAGTAATCCCATTAGTGGGGTCTCTGACTACAGGAAGTAGATCAATCAAGATCTTGTATCAGTCCTTGTATATATTGGTGTATATATATATCTCCATATATATAGATATATATAATCGACAAAACTAGTGTTACTAGACAGACCTATAAAAATTATAGATAGAAGACATAACGTTTTCGTAAAGATATGTTTAAACCATTTATTTGATTGCTTTTAGAACAAGAGGGCCATTTTACTACACACATATAATGAAAAACAATGACCTCTACCCCCCCCCCCCTCCTGCCCCCCCCCCCACCGGCAGGGCAATTTTAACCCAAGGGCTTTTATTTGAACAAACTTGGTAGACACCACAGGAAGATGTTTCTGCTAAACATCTAACCTCTAGCTCATTGGGTTTTTTAAAAGAAGATTTTTTGTAAGTTTTTACTATACACATATAGTTAAAAACAATGACACCTCTAGGGCGGGGCCAGTTTTGACCCCAGGGCTTTTATTTGAACAAACTTGGTAGACACTCATTAGAAGATGTTTCATGCCAAATATCTTAACTCTAGCTCTTTGGGTTTTTTCAAGGAAGATATTTAAAGTTTTTTCTTTCGGTTGCCATGGCAACCAGAGTTCTGCATGGAATTAAATTCTGTGAACAATTTTTAAAGGTGACCACCAAAGGAACATTCCTGTGAAGTTTGGATGAAATTGCTTAGAGGTTTATGAGGAGATGTCATTTAAAGTAAAAGTTTACGAAAGGACGGACGCCAGACGAAAAGCAATCACAAAAGTCAACCTGTCACTTTGTGACAGGTGAGCTAAAAGTAAATATGTTAGTGTGTTGCCCCCGCCCGGCGGTGGCTCTTGTTTAATGAACTGTCTTCAAATTTGAACACAAAAATCTTTGAGGATAGACCTTCAAGATGATCAGATAGGCTTTGATCTTCACTTACAAATGACCTTGATCTTGAAGGTCAAATTATTGAATTTTCATTGATTTTTGTTATAATTGACTGTAACTTGGTACTTAATAAATGAATAATCTTCATACCTTGACAAAATAACCTTTTGGAGGAGTTATCTAAAAAGTTAGAACTTGATCTTTAAATGACTTTGACTATCAAGGTCAAATTATTGACTTTTGTTAAATTGTCATAATTTTTTTTTTTGAGGCCCCATCTGAGTAACCCCAATTATTTACCCAAAAATAGGTATGAGGGGGTCAGGGTCATCCTCCATCGTACCTTACATTATTTATATACAATATATATGTTGCAAAATAATTATATTAATGTAAATATTGTCAAATACATCTACAGTATATACTTTGTATATAAATATAAACAACAGACATACAATAAACCCATCTATTTTCATAAAAATATTTTACCAATAAAAAAACTACTACTTATTATTAAACAATTAAACAATCTGTTACAAGGTAAAGTTTTGTTTCACATATTAAGTGTAGTTTAAGCAATTAAGGATCTTATAATTGACCATCTATTATTTTCATCATCTGTCAAATTTGTATTTCTATAGATATTCCATGCTAATTTCAAACTATTTTTAAAACAATACATGTAGGTAAAAAGTTTTTTCCTTAGACAAATAAATATATCTTAACAATATGTCATATTCATAAAATCTTTAGTTTCTGTACCTAATATGAATGATTTACAACAAAGAAGATCATCAAAATTATGTAAGTTTTCTCTAAGGTGAATTTTGAATTGTCTGATATTCCCAAAATAAATGTAAAAGTGTTTCTTCTTCACAGCATTTACAAAAAAAGTACACATTTTATTGTCAACAATTTTCATTTTAAAACAAAAGTGAGTTTGTAGCTAAAGTTCTATGAATAATTCTTGTTTGGAACCACTGAATTATTATATGAATCTTTAGAACATTTGAAAACATAACTATATATTAACTGCCAATTAATGTTATTATCTTTAAAACATGTGTTCCACCTTTCTTGACTTGTAGGTATGTCTGAATTTTTAGCTATAATTTCATAAACATATTTCTTATTGTTATTCATAGTTAAAATAGATTTAACATAACAATTTAGTATAGGATATTGAACATTAAGCAAATTGTAACTTATAAAAAATATTTAACTTTTGCATGTACAATTTTATTGCCTGTTTTAAACTATGATACTGTAAAAAGTTCACAGGTTTACCTCTGACCTGTTCTAAATATATCAAATCTACAAAGTTACCCTGTTCATTTAAAGTATCTTTTACAAATCTGATTCCTTTATTATATAATGTCTGAATGTAAATATATCTATTTCCTGCTAAAAAGTTGTGATTGTAAAAAAGTGGCATATGTAATACTTGCTCTATATTATCTATACAAAGTTTATCTACAAACACCATATAAGCTTTAAAAACATCAATCCAGAAAGAATTTGTTATTTTACGAATAATCAAATTACAAAACATCTTTCCAGTGTTAAAAATTTTATCAATATTAAACAATGTGTTTACTAGCTTATAACATTTACTTTTGCTATTACTAACATATCTTTTAAACCATTTTATCTTTAAACTATGTATATAACTATAAATATCAACCATATGTTTAAACCACCTTCTTTGTATGTTTTCATAATTTTGTTATTTATGTATGGGTTTGATTTTTACAATGTACTTGGACAAAAGAAGACATTCTATCAAACAAACATGTTGTATATTATGACTGTCAAGGTCAAATTTATGAAATTCTCTTGTTATTAGCTCACTTGTCACAAAGAGACAAGGTGTGCTTTTGTGATTGAAATTTTGTGTACGACCATTATAATTATGTCGATAATCTTTTACTTTAAACAACATCTCTAAGCCAGTTTCATCTAAACTTCACAGGAATGTTCCTTTGGAGATCACCTTTAAAAGTTGTTCAAAGAATTGAATTCCATGCAGAAGTCTGGTTGCATGACAAAAAAAAATAATAAAATATCTTCTATTACAAAACCCAAAGAGCTAAAGCTTAGCTATTTCGCATAAAATATCTTCTAGTGGGTGTTTACCAAGTTTGTTCAGCTAAAAGTAGATCCCTCCTATGTTTGTTCAAATGTATAGCCCTTTGGTAAAAATTGGCCCGGCCGGGGAGGGTAGGTAGGGGGGCGGTCATTGATTTTCCTTACAGGTATATAGTAAAAATAACAACAAAAATCTTTCTATTATACTAGCATTGCCTAGTGAACACCTATAAAAATGGATTAAGTCATGCCCTTTTGATCTAAATTGATCCCACCTAATGAACTACATTAGCATTTAAGAGAACTGACTTTTTCTAGAAATCAGTTGAGTGATATAGGGTCCCCCGATGGATTAGGGAGGGGGATATTGTTTTGGCGTTGTCCGTCTGTCCTTTCGTCCTTCCATCCCTCTACCCGTCTGTCTGAATTTTGTTTCAAGTTTATTTTTTGCAACTACTGGCTGGAATTCAACAAAACTTTAAGGGAACCAGATATATAAAGAGGAAATGCGCATACCATAGCCTTGTTCCAGTCTGACCCTGCAACACGAGATATGGCCCTTGATTATGCATATAGAGAATAATCTTTTTCTCGCTACTTCTCTGTAACTACTGGCTGGAATTCAATGAAACTTTATGGGAACCATCAATACAAAAATGAAATTGGCATATCGTTGCCTTGTTCTGGTCTAACCCTTCAACACAGAGTTATGGCCCTTGATAAGTTATGCATTAAGCATATAGAGCAATAATCGTTTCCGAACTATTTCTCTCCAACAACTGGCTGGAATTCAATTAAACTTTATGGGAACCATTAATACCAAGAGGAGATATGCACAATTTGTTGCCTTGTTCAGACCAGACCCTTCATTAAAGAGTTATGGCCCTTGATTAGTTATGTAGTATGCATATAGAGCAATATTGCTATTTCTTTGCACCTGCTGTATTGATTTCAACAAAACTTTATACAAAAAGGCAATTTATATCTAATTGTCATGTCCAGATATTACTATTTAACACGGAGTTATGGCTCTGTTATTGCCCTGAATATTTATCATGAACAAAGAATATTACTGTTTATGCCATGATGAATATATATAAATAAAGCCTTATGTCTCTAGTTGTTGTGTTAGTAATAACCAGTTCTAGGTGGGGGATATAAATTCAATGAATTTGCTTGTATTGTTTTGTATTGTACAGGGTACAGAATAACAAGAGCTGTCCGTAAGACAGCGCGCTCGACTTTTTTATTGCTTGCCAATAAAAAAAGTTTTTGCAGTAAAAGGCAATACAAGAATCTCTGTATTTTTAAAGTGAACAATGGCCATGAGCATTAACATAATTTATGGTAAAGTGAACAAGTGGATAGGAATGAATTTTTTTAGATTTTTTAAGTTTTTTAGTGCTTGCCTATAATACAAAACATTGACAGTTAAGGGCCATAATTCAAATAAAATCTTTGACAGAATTACCTTCTCCTGGACATGTTTGGGAATCATGATTGTAAACAAGTATTCCAACTTTCAAATTAATATCTCAAACAGTTCAGTCAAAAAGTGGACTGGTACTAAAAACTTAACCAATATTCTAAGTCGATAAAAGGCCTTAATTTTTAAAACAAATCCTTGACAGAGTTACCTTCTCTTGCGTACAGATGGGGGTAATGATGTGAAATAGCATTAAAAGTTTCAAAGCAATATCTCAAAGGGTTAAGGCAATAAGTGGATTTTACCCATATTCAATGTATTTTCTAAGTCAAAAAGGGGCATAATTCTGTCAAAAACCTTGACAGAGTTATGTCCTCTTGTCTGTTGATGAAGGTCGTGATGGTAAACAAGTATGGTCAGTTTCAAAGCAATACCTCCAATGGTTTTGAAATAAAGTGAGGTGGTACAAAAAACTTAACCAAGCTCAATACACTTTCTAAGTCAAAAAAGGGCCATAATTCTGTCAAAAACCTTGACAGAGTTATGTACTCTTGTCTGTAGATGGAGGTTATGATGGTGAACAAGTATGGTAAGTTTCAAAGCCATACTTGTAATACTTCTGAAATAAAGTGGGGTGGTACGAAAAACTTAACCAAGGTGTGACGCCAACGCCGACGCCGACGCCGGGGCGAGTAGGATAGCTCCCCTTTTCATAGAAAAGTCGAGCTAAAAAATAAAAACAATACTTTTATCTACAAGGTTCATTTATAGAACAAGACTTTTAATAAATATTGCTCACAGTATCAATATTGCCGACAATGGAAAACTAGCTAAAACTGTTTTGACTACTTTATTACTGTATAAACAAGAGAGCCATGATGGCCCTGAGGTCGCTCACCTGTATTTATGCCCCCGGAGCTGGGCTAGTTTAAACACCAGGGCTTTTATTTGAACAAACTTAGAAGACACTCATTAGGAGATGTTTCAAGATGTTAAGTTTTTACTACGCACATATAATGAAAAACAATAACCTACCCCCCCCCCCCCTTTGGCAGGGCCAATTTTAACCCAAGGGCTTTTATTTGAACAAACTTGGTAGATACCCATAAGAAGATGTTTCCTGCAATCCAACTTCTAGCTCATTGGGTTTTTTAAAAGAAGATTTTTTAAGTTTTTACTATACACATATAGTTAAAACAATGACACCTCTGCATCGAGGCCAGTTTTAACCCCAGGGCTGTTATTTGAACAAACTTTGTAGACACTCACTAGAAGATGTTTCATGCTTAATATCTAAAGTCTAGCTATTTGGGTTTTTTCAAAGAAGATTTTTAAGTTTTTGCCATACACATAAAGGAAAATCAATGACCCCCAGGGCGGGGGCAATTTTGACCCCAGGGCTTTTATTTGAACAAACTTTGTAGACACTCACTAGAAGATGTTTAATGCTTAATATCTAAACTCTAGCTATTTGGGTTTTTTCAAAGAAGATTTTTTAAGTTTTTGCTACACACATATAAGGAAAATGAATGACCCCCGGGGCCGGGCCAATTTTGACCCCAGGGCTTTTACTTGAACAAACTTTGTAGACACCCATTAGCACATGTTTATGCTAAATATCTTAGCTATAGCTCTTCAGTTCTTTAAAAGAAGATTTTTTAAGTTTTTACAATATGCATATTGGGAAAATCAATGACCCCCTAGGCAGGGCCAATTTTGACCCCAGGGCTTTTATTTGAACAAACTTTGTAGACATCCATTAGAACATGTTTCATGCTAAATATCTTAGCTCTAGCTCTATGGGTTCTTTAAAAGAAAATTTTTTAAGTTTTTACAATATGCATATAGGGAAAATCAATGACCCCCTGGGGCAAGGCCAATTTTGACCCCAGGGCTTTTATTTGAACAAACTTGGTAGACATCCATTAGAACATGTTTCATGCTAAATATCTTAGCTCTAGCTCTATGGGTTCTTTAAAAGAAGATTTTTTTAAGTTTTTACTATATGCATATAGGGAAAATCAATGACCCCCTGGGGCGGGGCCAATTTTGACCCCAGGGCTTTTATTTGAACAAACTTGGTAGACACTTATTAGAAGATGTTTCATGCTAGATATCTTAGCTCTAGCTCTATGGGTTCTTTAAAAGAAGATTTTTTAAGTTTTAACTATATGCATATAGGGAAAATCAATGACCCCCTGGGGCAGGGCCAATTTTGACCCCAGGGCTTTTATTTGAATACACTTGGTAGACACTTACTAGATGATGTTTCATGCTAAATATCTTAGCTCTAGCTCTATGGGTTCTTTAAAAGAAGAATTTTTATATGTGTATAGGGAAAATCAATGACCCCCTGGGGCGGGGCCAATTTTGACCCAGGGCTTTTATTTGAACAAACTTGGTAGACACTTACTTGAAGATGTTTCATGCCAAATATCTAAGCTCTAGCTCTTTGGGTTTATTAATAGAAGATATTTAACCAGAGTTCTGCATGGAATTAAATTCTTTGAACAATTTTTAAAGGTGACCACCAAAGGAACATTCCTTAAATTGGCTTAGTGGTTTATGAGGAGATGTCATGTAAAGTAAAAGTTTACGGACGGACGACGGACGGACGAAAAGCGATCACAAAAGCTCACCCTGTCACTTTGTGACAGGTGAGCTAAAAAAGGTTGGAAAAAAAAACTTCACCTTATAAACCAAAATTTAAAATACATTTTCACAAGCAAAACTGGTCCTCTACACTTCAGATATTCAAAGTCAATGAAGTTGGAATCATTCTTTCAATTAAACATGTTTAATTGTGTTTCAAAATAATATGCAATCAAAAGTGTAATGGCAGGCCTATATTTTGTCATTTTAGCTTTTTGATATCATTGAAATCTATAGTCTTTATACTTTCTTTTTTTGGTCACATTTTATTGGCTAACCATTAAGCCAGAAAGGAGCTTACATATATGGAAATTTGCTGCATTGTTCCTTGCCCTTTGTCGAAGAGAAAGCATGTAGCATTTTAATGCTTGTTGAGGTCTGTTTTCTTGTTCCATACATTGTCCTAAAATGTTTAGAGCTGTTTCTCTATGTTTGAGGTTTTTATCTGTTTCTATGGTTCTTATAAGTTTACAAAGTGCTTGTTGTTGATCTTGATGTCTTTGTAGATGACGATAGATCTTGTATTGTAGGAAGTATAAGAAAGGTAGAGAATCAACTACAGCCCAGTCCATCCAACAGTCTTTTCTTTTCATGTCTGTGTATCATGTCATCTTGTGTAGATCTGAACATTTCATATTGTAGTTCATGAGGAACACAGTTGATCTCTCCCTGTATAAATCTGACACAAAATGCTGTAATATGTTTGATACAGTCCTCACTTTGTTCACTACATAACCTCTTGAATTCTGCTGTTACTGTTGGTGGCGGCTGACACAGCAGCCACAGATAGGTAAAACAGGATAAGAATAATATTGTTGCTCTGTGTGTCTCAGAATTAGTTCAGCTTTCTCCATATCTCCTGTACTGTAGAACACTGAAGCCAGTTTAAGTCTGCTAGATGAGATATCTGAGTTTAAACCAGCTGATAGCCAGACCAATGCTTGAGGTGACACTTGATTATTTTCACCAATGCTGGATGATGCTAGGGTAGATCCATATGTGGTGAAAAGAAAAGGTGCTAGAAAATTGAATGCAACTTGTTCAAATCTATTACCATTATCACTGAAGGTCATCAATTTTACTATATGTTGCTTCATTGTTCTAATGTTTTCATTGTGAAAATGTCTTAAAACATGCTTATGTTGTATACTTATGTTGTTTGCAATGTTGATATATCTCCATGTCAAAACAGTTTCATATATTTCAAGAGAAGAAGGAAAATAGTAAACTCCATGTGGTACTCTGTTCAGTTTAACTTGAAGTCTATGACCAAGATCATCAATATCAATACTTAGTAACCGTTGTCTATCATTCTGTATAAAATCACAAATATTTTTTGAAAGTTCATGTTTTGTCTCAGCTGTAAATTGCCCTGCCATCAAATTATTTTCCGGTATAATGAAATGTGAACAACAGTCATTCTGTACACAACTGTGTAATTCCAATAAGCAGTATGTTAAACATGTAAATAAATTGATATCTTTCCATATTCGTGACTCTGTGTTTTCTATACAATGTAATAAAACTGTTTTGCACATGAAACTTGAAATGTTGATTTCATTTTGAGGATTAAGGAAGGACTTAAGAATCATTTTCAATAGTACATAGCACCTTATTTGTGTTATATTTAGATTAAACATTATACATCTTTCTGTCAATGATGTAGATATTCTCCATTCCAGTTCAGGATATTCACTGACCTTACTTCCAGTTGGAACAACTAAACACCCAGTACTGGCTGCATATCTTCTCATCTCATGTGTTGGCCATCTGCCAATACCCTGTCTATGTAACCAACCTGTTGCTGATTGAGGCCATGATTTACATGGACAAGCTATCACCAGGTCTCTATCACAAACTCCAGGTTGTCCTTGTTCAGCAATAGATGGTCCATGCTGCTGGTCAGCACCCTGAAGAAAATTATTTATTATTGTATTTTTATACAATATTCTTCCTCTTCTATCAGTAATATGGTTTTCATCAGGAATGACAGTTGCAGGAAGAGGTTCATCATCTCGGAGTAGTTGTAAGAAACAATACCCGGGAGTAGTGTTCTCATCCTGTATCATGAGGTAATTAAACTTGCCATGTACCCACTCTGACCAGTCTTGTATTATATTGTATTTATGTATTAAGCTTAGTATATCAATGTCTGAATAAAGTCCTATAGTAGTTGTACCTTCACTTTGACTCCCTAGATAATAGATAGTTCCATTTCTATCAGTTAACCTGTATGTGATATTCCACATATTCTCTATCAGCATGAGTCCTCTTCTCCTTCCCATCACCATTCTTTCATTGACACCAATGTCATGTAAAACCTCTGATAACATCAATGATAAGTTTTCTCTGTAGTCAGGATCTTTAAACATTCTGTAATATATTAGTAAAAGGGAAAATTGTTTCATTCAGCAGTCAAATTAATTTTATCACATACTTCTACTTGTAATTTATTTGTCCTTTGTGTCCTAAAATAGAACAGGAGAGACTGAATCTGGACATTATGAAACATAAAATAAATAATTTGGGGTAGTTATCAATTGATCAAAATATTGCATATTTTTCTCTATTTGATAGTGGTATTTTCTTGTCTATTATATAAATGTAAATATTTGTTATCAGAATTTTGATATAAGAGAGACACTAAAATTTAACACCCATTTAAATATTCATGTTACACTTTTTTACATAATTCATTTAATACAAATGAGAAACTACAACATAATATAATGTTTTAAATTTAATTTGAATTCTGGATTTAAATTTCTTGAAAATAATCAAGAGAAAATATTTCTTGTCATTTGACCAGATATGTGGAAATTTAGTTTTATATAACACCTCAATATATTGTAAAAATACATGATAATGTAAAACATAATTATGTATATTTCTATTTAATTAAAATACATAATTTATTTAAACAAAACTTTTTTTTTTTTGAGATTGATGAAAGGGAGACAAAAAAATTAAAAACACTGTCTAAAATATTGCCTGAACTACTTTCTTACATAATTCATTCTATATAAATGAGAAACTGTGTATTTAGAATAAAGTTTTAAACTTACTTTGAATGTTGTATTAAACAGTATTTCGTAGAAAGAATCAAGATAAACTGTTTCTTTCCTTTTGACCAGATAGGTGGAAATTTTGCTATTTTTACTTCCTCTTTTGGTTTTGAATGAAATGAAAGGGAAATAACTCACTTCCTTTTCCTAACAGTTGGTATGAGAGATAATTGAGTAATGTCCCTTTTAGATTTTTCAATGTATTCTATAAAAACATGATAATATAAGTCTTAATAATGTATATAATTCTGTCTATTTAAATAATAAAGAATGTGTTATAACATCATATTTTCAAAAAAAAACATATTTGTATTACTTTCAGAATGAAATTTCACTCACTGTTAGTAATAAATACTATTTTCCTTCATTATGCAGATTTGCAAATCTGACGAAAAAAATTAATTGTCACTTTTTGCAGAATATCTATTGTTGACATCCATGATGTCATTGCCTGTAATTTTTGTAAATAACTTAATGTAAGAAAAAAGAAGATAAATATGTGATTCATAAAATAAACAGCAAACTCCTTGATAAAGAGGGCTTGAATAGCTCGAAATGTACTGGCGATTGATAAACTTTGTGCATGAGATAGTGTTCTTTTCTTCTTCCCATAACGTTAATATCAGTTCATGAAGAAGTTGCAACACTATAATGTCTCTGTTAGTTAACAAGTTTCAAATAAATTTCCTGAATATGTCTGTCCACAAGTTGAAAGGTTATTTTTTTATGTCTGAAACTAGTTTCCACTGGGGTGTATATTTATGTCACCTATTTGCAATGGTGGTGTTACTGATACATTAATATTGAAATATTTTTAAAAACACCCCATTGACAGTTCCAAATTTAAAGCATAACAAGTTCAGCATAGTTAGAATACTGTAAAAAATCTTCACATTGATGTGTATCATACTTAAGTTAAAACCTGTATAAAGAAACATTAAGTTTTTAGAAGGAGTGTGATTATGGTATATCACACTGATAAATTTTTTTTTCATTCCTCATCATATACAAAGAAAAGGAATATTCAATTGTGTTCATTTACAAATATATTTCATCCTGAAGAGTGAAATATTTGTTGTCATGTTTATCACATAGGAAACATAGCCTTTGAAATATTTGATGAAATTGCTTAATATTTTATTGGAGCATCTGATGATAAGGAATCTGGGACATTTGCCTCATAGTAAAAAAAGTTTTCTTAGACATATAGTATATAATTGGATGTCCCCCCCCCCCCCCACTCTGAGTAAATATTGAGTTATAATAAAGAATTTCAAGGATTTCAAGGATAGGCTGCAAATGTCCTTGGACGGAGGTTTGGGGGGTGGTGGTGGTGGATGGGGGCAGATTGTTCATATACATGTACCCTATCGGAGTGATAAACATTATTGTATTATTGTGAGTTTTTATTTTTAAAATTTTTTCATGTGGAGGAAATTTCCAGGCAAGCTTTGAGGGATGATGATTAATTCTGTTTTGCCAACATTCAACTTAACAAACATACAAACGAGGAGCAGCTGAGGTCTTCCCTTTCCCAGTTTTGCTTTGGAAATTGCTGCCTTATTACAGTGAGTTCAATGTGACTTAAAGTCCAATTAAATGAAATTTAAAATTAAATTGTCTTTTTATTATTATAAGATTTAAATGACCCTGGAAATTGTTTTTAAAAATGGGTTGATAATGTTCCACATGAACAAATTTGAGTTATGTTGAATGTTTTTCACAATTTAGTGCCTTACCTGCATTTATTTTGTTCATAATGTATTCAACAATTCTGAAATATGACCACTAAAATATGAATGAAAATATGTTAAAGTTTGTGTAATATCAAAACAAACATCAAAAAACATTGTATATATTTCAGTTTGATCACACACATATATCTGCTCTTGCCAAGAGGTTAGTTAACAGAGTTGCAGAAAAAGTGCCACATATAATACAGAATGGAGATCCAGAAAAGACATACCCAGGTATGAAATTTTACTCTTTTAAAGTGACATTATGCTCGTATTTTTATTGTCAAGATGAGCTGAATTTACTTTTTATTTCAAAAGATTGACTGTTAAAATCGTTGTTTGAAATACATTTTATATTGGAAAAACGTTTAGGATAAAAATTCAAAATTGCCTAAAAATCTCAACATCCGTTTTTTATTTTTAAAAAAATTATGCATCAACATGTTGATTCTTTAATCAACTTTTCCTCCTAAACCACTTGGCCAAATTTGTTGAAACTTTGCAGGGATGTCTACCAAAGTTGTTCAAAGAGTTAGATTCCATAAAGAACTCTGTTTGCCATGGCAACCAAAAGATTATTTTACAAAAAATCTTAAAAATTCTTGTAAAAAAACGAAAGTTAGAGCTTAGATATTTGTCTTGAAGCATCTTCTAGTAGATGTCTAAATGTTTGCTCAGACAGACAGACGACGGAGAAGTGATCCCTATATGTCGCCACTACTCCGTAGAGGCGACACAAAAAGATAGAGAGTTGAAAGAAATGTGACTTTAGGGAGATGTTTGAATATTTTAAAGAGGAGGCAGAGAAAAGAAAAAACATGAGCAAGGAAGAAAAATTGGTGAGAACAGTTTAAAATAATTGAGCTGCACCATGACAAAACCAACATAATGCGTTTGCGACCAGCATGGCTCAAGATCAGCCTGCACATCCGCGCAGTCTGCTCAGGATCTATGCTGTTCGCTATCAGTTTCTCTACTTGTTCCTGGATTTGTAAGCGAACAGCATGGATGTTGATCAGACTGGGCGGATGCGTAGGCTGATCTGGAGCCATGCTGGTCGCAAACGCATTATGTTGGTTTTGTCATGGTGTGGCTCATATGTACTCCGAGGATAATAAGGGTATAGTTCTTGTTAAGACATTTTTATGTATTGATGATTTGTGAGCAATTACATCATACAGCATAGCACACTTTTTGTTGGTACATTCTATTGACCATTACGCTTTGGAGAGGTATAAGTATGTTTAGGTCAAGGTCATTAAGGCTATAAATAGACTTCTCTGCTTTTCCTCATGGTAAGGCCATGTTTCCTTAACTTCTCAAAACAACTTTGGGAAGTATGTCTAGGAAAATATTTTGCTGACAATAAGCTGTAAATTCATGAACGGTTAGACTTTAGTGGCAGGGCAGCAAAATTTGATTTTGATTTACTTGTCAGTTACATCTGAATGGTTTCTTTACTTACCAGTATGATGTTTATAATGTAAACTTTGGAATATATTTCACTCGTCCTCACAGGTTTTGGGACAACAACCGTGACAATATGGACACTTTATTTTGCTGTCTTTGACTGTTAGCGGAAGAGTTTAGCACGGAGGAAGGTAGTCTAGTACTGGTGTAACTCTCCAGAAATGATGGTTAGGACACTACCCACCTATATGACTCGAATACTGTTGGGAAAAGGTGTAAAATGAAACAAACGAAAAAAAACTCATACTTCTTCGCAAAGATGTGGCCTTGGCAGCGAAAATTTGTACAACCACTTGTAAAGGGATTGTCTTTGCCCTCACTGATGCAAATATTGCATGTCATTTTGTTACTTTCATACAAAAGCCATGGATATTTTGTTAGCCATTCCTGACGAAATTCAGGATCAATTTTTACTTTTGGAATGGATTGTTTTTCTTTAGAGGTATTAGGGTCATTGTCAACATTATTTTTATCTGATACTTCTTTTGGGTCATGGACAACAATATTTTGTGTATTTTTCGTAAAGAAATTGGTCAATCTCCGCTGCTTTGGAGCAGATGACATTTTCCAGCAGACAGTTAATTCGTTCGCGGAAAATGAGCGACAACAAAATAAATAATTTTGTCTGGGCGCTTTCTATATATGCAGTATCGTATAAATGCAAGCGTTTATTAACTACTTGAAATTGGCTAAATGCTGGACCACGGACTCGGTAAATTTCATTTCTCATTAAAATTATAGTCATGCCCACGTTAAAACATTCCGTACATTTTTATATCGAATTGACGGTTTATAGTCTGTATATCTGACTCGTGTTGAAATCAGCGACGGTGAAATTCTTGCGTCACAAAATACGCACTAAATAAATTTCATTGCGTCATGGCCGAAAAAAGTGCGCCAAAAACGCGCTCTGGCAGAAACACTGGCAGAAACACTATTTAGACTACAGTGTATATAGTTCTATTTTAAAGTCGAACTGTCACTGAAACTATCAATGGCCATTTTTTCAGTTTTATTTATGGAGAAATACTTCAGGAGCCCCTTATGCAATATTTCAGGTACAAGTGGGCTCCTGACTCAGAGTAGAACCAGCACATGAAAGAATCCAAAGTTCTTTTTGGGATTCAAACTCACAGCAGTGGCAGAGTATAGCCCCTTATCTTATTTACAAAGCAACCTGAAAATAACGCTGTATTGTCATCCATTTCAAAACTATTTAAGTTAACATAAACTATCAAACAGAACTTCAGTCTCAAAACAAAGTTATACATTTTCAGTCGACTTCACTTATAACGAACTGGCTTATAACAAATTATCGTTTATAGCGAACTGAATCTGACATCCCCATCCAAAACCTTCTTTATTTTATATTAAATTTACTCACATAAAACAAATTTTCAGTTATAGCAAACCATTTTTTCAAGCCCCAAACGGCGAAAAACATGTAAATTTCCTCGGTTAAAACAAACTGTTATTAATTTAAATATCGGGATGCGCTTGATTAAGATCAGTACACGAATACCACTATCCGATAATTATTCAATCTAGTGATTGCAAAGGTAAGTTATGGCTTCAGGGAATAAAGATTTTGATAAAATGTTCCCAGAACATAATTTCCTACTTGTTACGGAAAATTTGTATTTCGCACCCTTAGTTGATATATTGCTGTAAATACCCGATATTTATCAAATAATTGATTTTTGTTTGCAATTTTAACAATCAAATAGCAAAAGAATACAAATGGTAAGTACTTTATAGACAAGTAATACATGTCCAAATACATGTACCATGTACATAAAATATTGTGGCCAGCATTAAATTACTGCTGTTGTAAAATACCTATTACATCGGTAACTAGTAAAGGTTTGCCTTTTTCACAGCAAATTTACCAGCTTTGCTTTTAGCAAACTTCGGATGTAACAAACGATATTCAAATGTCCCATTGAGTTCGTTATAAGCGTAGTTGACTGTATCCCATTTTTTTAAGCACAAGGGAGATAATTATCTGAAGTAATATGCATGTAAATTAATTACTTACAATTCTTCAAATAGAGTTTTGGCTATACCACCCCCAGGTATGTAGAGTTCTCCCCCTTCACCATCCTTGGCCTCTAACACAGATGGCGCTGGAAAACACTGACGTCTCTCTAGCTCCTCCCACTCGTAGAAATTACGGAACATGTCGCCAAATGCTTCCTCTATTTGTGGTGATGCAACAAATCTAAACTGAGGTCTACAATGGAACAAAAAACACATGGTTGTGTAGTGTTACCTTATCTAATGCTATTTATTTTATGAAATATTTTTATAAAGTTTATCAACAGTAAAAATATATTGGTTCCATAATATTATGGTTGATTCTCATAAGAGATGCAAATAATTGGAATTTTTCTAAGTCCAAGGGGCATAACTCTGTCAAAAATTTCTGGATTGGACCAAAAACAAAACTTGACCTAGATATTCTGACGATCAGCCTGTATACCAAATTTCATTTCAGTATGTGCAACCTCTGTGTAGAAAATGAATAGAAACTGTAGGTGGATCAACAGACAGCAGCAAAGCAATATCCTGTTGATTTTTTTCCTGTATTTCACAGCCGAATAAAGGCTGTTTCCCCTAGCCCAAAATAGGTATATTTTCCCCTAAAAAATGCATATATTTTCCCCTACAATGGCCTGTGTGCATTCTTCACGAGGGCAGCTGACATATCAGCTAGAAGACAGAAAGCTGTCCCTATAGATAGCCTCTCATATGTACCATGCATGTTGAATTGAACCGAAAATTGAAAATTTTATAAAATGTGTGGGTAAATTTCATTCTCGGTAGTTGGAAATTGAATTTTCCCTTTTCTGATTTCATGTGCTATATTTTCCCCTTAAGACAGCCACAAATTGTTTTGAAAATTGAAAAAAAAACCTGTATCCCATCCTCGAAGAGGAGAATAAAAAAGTATAATTCTGTGAAGTTTCTTATGGTTTTACCTATAAATAAACAATATCATTTGAAAGAAAAAATTGATGTCTGATTCAAAATCAAAAGCTGTAACAAATCAATGTAAGAATACTAAAAAAACCACCAGATATCTCTTTGACAAACTTAACGCATGGCAAAGTAGGAAAATCTATTTTAGCTTCAGTAACCTTAATCAAATCAGCATGAAACTCAATACAATTGCAGATATCTATATAAGTTATAAACACACCAAATATCTAAGATGTAAGTCAATAGAACAAGAGGGCCATGATGGCCCTGAAATTGCTCACCTGTATATAGGCCCCCGGTGCGGGGCCAATTTAAACCAAGGGGCTTTTATTTGAACAAACTTGGTAGACACCCATTTGAAGATGTTTCATGATAAATATCTAAGCTCTAGCTCTAAGAAGATTTTTAAGTTTTTACTATACACATATAGGGAAAAACAATGACACCCCTCTGGGCGGGCCAATTTTGTCCCCAGGGCTTTTATTTGAACAAACTTGGTAGACACTCATTAGAAGATAATCCATGCTAAATATCTAAACTCTACCTCTTTGGGTTTTTTAACAGAAGATTTTTTAAGTTTTTACAGTATACATATAAGGAAAATCAATGATCCACAGGGCGGGGCCAATTTTAACCCCAGGGCCCTTATTTGTACAAAAATGGTAGACAGCCATTACAAGATGTTTCATGCTAAATATCTTAGCTTTAGCTCTTATGGTTTTTTAAAAGAAGATTTTTTAAGTTTTTACTATATACATAAAGGAAAAAACAATGACCCCCTGGGGTGGGGCCAATTTTGACCCCAGGGCTTTTATTTGAACAAAATTGGTAGACACCCACTAGAAGATGTTTCATGCTCAATAGCTAAGCTCTAGCTCTTTGGGTTCTTTAAAAGAAGATTTTTTAAGTTTTTACTATATGCATATAGGGAAAATCAATGACCCCCTGGGGCGAGGCCAATTTTGACCCCAGGGCTTTTATTTGAACAAACTTGGTAGACACCCATTAGAAGATGTTTCGTAATAAATATCTTAGCTCTAGCTCTTTTGGTTCTTTAAAAGATTTTTTAAGGTTTTACTATACGCTTATAGGGAAAATCAATGACCCTTGACCCCAGGGCTTTAACTTGGTAGAAACTCAGTAGAAGATGTTTCATGCCAAATATCTAAGCTCTAGCTCTTTGATTCTTTTAAAAGAAGATATTTAAAGTTTTTTCTTTCGGTTGCCATGGCAACCAGAGTTCTGCATGGAATTAAATTCTTTGAACAATTTTTAAAGGTGGCCACCAAAGGAAAATTCCTGTGAAGTTTGGATGAAATTGGCCTAGTGGTTTATGAGGAGATGTCATTTAAAGTAAAAGTTTAACGGACGACGGACGGACACCAGACAGACGCCGGACGAAAAGCGATCACAAAAGCTCACCCTGTCACTTTGTGACAGGTGAGCTAAAAAGCAACAGAATGACAAACTCAAAACCATATACCTCGTGGGGGCCATATACCCTGTGGGGAACATTAAAATCAATTCAATGTCACACAGACACTCAGAGATTGCACTTGAAAATTCTGTATAAGCAAACACTGATCCGTGCCAAAAGAATAAGTTTTATTTTTATATAATATGGCACGTAATACGATTCGTAAGATAAATATGACTTAATTAAGGTTTTGGCCTGGTTTTACGTCACACATGTCATATGGTGAGTTTCCAGCTCCAGTGGTGGGGGAGGACATCAGGTGCCCCTTTGAGCATTCTTTTAGGCACAGGCTGGAACCAGAGTCCTGAGCAGAACCATCAACCTTCTGTAATCAAGACAGATACCTGCTTTATATGAAAAAATTAAAATCTCTGGTATCTCGGATCATTAATTCCAGCACTTATAAGTGTTGAAAATTGAGTACTGCACAAGCCAGTGCTAGTGGGCATAAGAGATGTTGCACATTTTCATTATCCCTCATGTACAGACTCAATCAAACCATGTCTGCAATTTTCATGTAATTTTTCCAGAGAATTTGCTGATTTTAATGCTTCTGAGGGATCAATTTTTTCCCGATACAACCTAATTGATCCCTCAGTCATTAGGGACAAGTGTAGCTCAACAAATTGCGCTAGGGCATTTTATTATATACAACGACCCACCGACATCTATGTAATATCAGTTTGTAAAATTGGTCAGTCTTGGAGTCGAAATATTGAGATTAGGACAAGTGATAATCTGCAGCCATAATCACTGGACCATGAAGGCCCTAAGCCTGGATAGTATCAGAAAATGAGAATTATTACAAACCCTTGTAACTGGACATCAAGTCTTTCTTCAGCTGAGCTACTTGTTGCTATAACAACTCTTTTAAACTCATTCTCTTTTATCCACTGAACTAACCAGTTCCTGAATAATCCCCTTTTTCCCTGTAATATAATGTTCACAATTAGTGATGCATACAAATTGAAAAATATGTACACATTTAATTACAGTCACAATCATTATCCATATTGTATGTCAACTAGAAGCCCGTTTCGGTTTTTTAAAAATTTCTTTGTCTGTAAAATATTTACCCATCATCAGGACTGAAATGGGCAGGCATTTTATTTCACACCTTAACATTATACATTATCATCTATACACAAAACATTTTTACGAATCAGAGAGTACATCACTGATATAGGTGATATTAAACCATAGAATGGTAGATTAAATAAATTAACATTTTAATTAGACAGAATAGTTCATACATGTACTTATTCATTTAAGGTTGATTGTCAAACATGAACTTCGAACTTATATTAACATTAATGTCTTTCACTCCATTTCTTTGAACTGACCAGTTATGATGTTACATTATGGAAACATGGTTGTCACCAATGTAGGACTTGAACCCATGTTCCCTGGGTTGATAGGCAGACACCTTAATCACTAAATCAACAATCCACATTGTGTTTGTTTCAATAAAGTAGTAGAAAATTGAATAAATTTAGAGAGAAAAAAACATATAGTTTATACCTTTAAGTTTTTATTTTAGTTTGACTGTGTTGGCTGTGTTGGAAGCTATAAGCTTATTAAAACATTCTGGATCACTAATTAAAAGCCAAATCTTAGTAGTAACTGTAAATGAAATATGTGAATTCATCAAGTGTTTACAAAACATAACTATACCTGAACAAAAGGAGATCTTTGCTGAATAATAACAACTCTGTGCTCTTGGCTCTCATACACTGAAACAAAAAAAACCCTTTGGGCATAACATTTTATCTCCAATCTATTTTAAATGCAAGCTCACAATTTTGTGGAATCATTTTTACCTTACCAGAGCACTATACTTTCTTTATGTACCATGCATGTTTTAACTGAATGGCAGTTGAAAATTATGTAAAATGAGTGGGTAATTGACATTACGCCAGAGAAGAGATCGCTCCGCCCACTGATTCACGTGACCCGGTCATTAAGAACCTTAGACAAAATACGCTACCGATGTATTCGCAAAGCTGTTGTGCCACTAATGTTACCAATGAATTTACCTTATATAAATTTTGTAAATATAAAATTGTGATGCTTTTAATGGTTTTATTGAATAGTAGAACTGTAATTCAATGTATAAATGTATAATGGTATTTTAAAAAGTAAAAACAAATCTGCATTCACGTATTAATGACGCATGAAACGTTTTGCAAAGATGGTGTTACTTCTTGTTGACTTCATTGACAAAATATCATTATATCTTACAAATTCAAAGAAAGACTATAATTATGTAGAAACGTATATGATTATGTTATGATTGTTTTATTTTGAAATTGAAGTAGCGAAACATAAAATCATGGAGCTAAATATAAATTGTTTATATATCTGTGATAAAACAGTTAAGTTATATTAGTGACACAAATAAATTTAAAATTATTTTTCGGGTTTTATGTGCGAAATTCAGTTTTAATAATACATTAATTTGTTCATGAATTGTTAAAATGGATTCAGAAAATTGCATGCCCTTGCTATTTTTTTATGATATGTGATTATTTATTGCTTACATACATTTGATATGATTCACGACAAAACACAACGTTATTCTCTTTAAAATAAACTTCACATATATCAGACATGATGTTATTGGAATTAGTTTCGTATTTTAGCAGATCTATTTGAATGTTCAATATTAATTTCTTGAACTTTAATAGAAATATTCAGGTTAGATAATTTCACCCAATTTTTTTATTGTATTTACTAATTATATTTGCATTTTTACGGCTGCGTTTTAATTTACGCTATACGTTATAAACGAAAGAATGTCATATCTCCTGGATATTCTGGGACCTTATAATATGTAATGTGATTATTAATAGATAGAATGGGAAAAGTGGATTTGTTTAAACCTTTTCCCTTTCCAATGCATTGTGTTACAGCCAGGATAAATGTTTCGTACTTATTATTTCCATATGTAGAAAATTATTGACTTATTGTATAATAAACAAATGTCAGTTTATTTGGTAACTTAATTAATATATGATACAAAAAGCTTTTAATTAACAGAAAATTAAAATAATTTCATTCTAAATTACTTCTGCACCACTGTCTTAGACACGTAGCTTGTCTAAGGAAAATGGTGGACATCGTAGGCATCTCAGCGTGGAACTGATAACAATCGCTGATTGGCTTATCTCTGTGACCCCTGCCTGTTTGATTGACAGGCGGCGTAATGTCAATTCTATTCTCTGTTGTTGGAATTTGATTTCAGGTTTCCTCCTTTTTTTCTGATTTATTGTGCTGTATTTTCCCCTTCAGAAAGCCACAGGTTGTTTTGAATTGAAATCAAGAAAAGGTTACCTTAGTAACAAGTAACAGCTTATAGGCTTCAAAAGTAAAAAAATTGTATTTAGCTCATCATGGATTAACAACATATAGAATAAAAATGTTACCTTCACAACATGTAACTAATTTACAACTTGTAGCCTCGGGATGAGCAAATGGATCTCCCCCTACCAGTGGAATAATACTTGGATGCTGTATATAACCTGCCCGGTGCATTGTCAGCGTGGAAATCAGTAGGTCCGCTGTCAGCTGGGCCACATTGCCTACTGATACGGCTGGCTGTAATTAAAAGATTAATTGAATATGTTAACTTGAACTTGTTACTTCAGAAAAATCTGTCAAGAATGAAATGACAACACTGGTTATTAAAGACCATTTTAGTAAGATACCAGTCATACAAGAAGTGGCTGCACATACTAGTAATACACATTATGGCATATAAATTCCCAAATATACCCAAATATAGCCAGAGATCTGCCGAAAATTTGAAAGTACTGGGCCCCGGGCCTACTTGGTCTGAAAATGATGGGCCATTTTGACCAAAGTATGGGCCTTGGGAAAATAAGTAAACATTGACCTAAATGACTGTTAAAAAGTTTGTAGATAATTGAATTTCCTTTGTAATGGAACTTAAATCATATTTAATGACAAGTGGTTCACTTATGATTCAGTATTTAACAGAGAAGATAACCAATAATTAAAAAAATGCCTACATTAGACGGTAATTTTCTAACTAATATTAATTGCAGGCAAAACATTTTTCAAATGGCTGCTCAAAAATCTGATTTGCACAATATATCCACATAATTGCTTGTTCTTATTTCTAATGTGTAATACTGTGCATTATCCATTTAATTGCTCCTACATTGCACCAAATGTCCCTGTCACAATGTATATTGACGGATTTTATTACTCCTTGTAAGCCTCTGTGTTGAAAGCATACATCAAAGACACTTGCCGACAGACTTTTTGATCATGAAAAAAGTCATGCACAATGTTTCCCTGATTGGTTAATCACCCTGTCAAATATTCTGATGACGAAATGGACATCTTTTTTTACATTTCATCAGCCAAAGCTTGCGTGAACTTGAGTGACCTTAGGGGAAATCAAGTTGTACACCTGTCAAATTATACTGTAACTTACAGCTTTTCTTAAAATAGCAACACTTTTTTTTCAGTTACAGATAATCATTTTAAATATTAAGTAGTTGTATAATTTTTTTGTTTGTTTGTTTTATTGGATTAAATTTACAGTAGTAGAAATGACCGTCATAGACTCTATGAGTATCTGTGTGGGAAAGGGATTATGAGAAGAAATGCGGTAAGTGGATAAAGTGAACAAAAGCTATAGGGGAATACATTAATTCAAGAAAATGCATAATTACAGGGGAATGGGTAACGTGTTGCTGTTGGTACCAGTTTTGACTGGATGACTAAATAACCCAGCTGACAGTTTGTTTTCTTTTAAGTCTGGCACAGATTTTAGATGCGCCCTTGGCTGCCGATTTTCGTGCGCCATTCTCATTTTTTTAGCGCCAATGGCACAAAATCGCGTCCTCAGCAGATCTTTTACAGCAATAATCTTTTTTTTTTGTATGAAATATAGATTATAATGAGAAAATGAATTATGCTTTTCTCTCGTTGATTCGTGACTCTCATTTGGAAAAATTGCACTTGTACAACAAATATCAGACATACATACAGTTCATTTTTAGTGCATTTGTTAAATAAATTCATTATCTAAAAGTTCAAAAACTTTAAATTACTTCTAAAAACAACCGCTCAAAGATTAGAGCATCTGAACATGTCAACCATGACTGTCTTGCTCAGCTAGACGCTTACCTATTGATTTGTGAAATCCGATTCACCCTGTGACGTCATCAAAATATGGGTGCTCACACCATGGTTATTTTCTGTCCGATCTGATCATATATGTTTCAAAGTCTAAAGTAAATTCTTACAGCATAATGAATATTTTTTGGCTTAATTGTAAATGTTTTTGATAAATTAAAACATCAATATCGAATATTTTAAAGTAATTTAGGTCATCAGCTGATTGTAGGGTAAGCACATTTACACCTGTTCAATTATACATTTTGATTGGATAGAATTGTCAAATCGAGTGTGTAATAAAACTTGTGTAGTTATCGGATGGTGTATGTTCTTGCAGAAGTATCTATACCAGACAATTATTTAGGTCACGAATCGATGAGAATAAGGCATAATATTTATATAATAATATGACTTAGCCAGCTATAACTTTCATTCATTCCATTGAAATGGGCAGTTCAGATGTTGTAAGAAAATAAACATGTGACATTTGCTTATCTAGGTTCATTATAGTCCTATAAATATGACGTTGCTTTGAGATATTTTATATATAAATTTTACAGGCAATATTTGGGTAATTCATTCTGCATCTCTACGAATGGTAGTCAGACTATTCTCTCCCTTACCAGTTCCTCCCCTGACGTTTCCTCCCTGACGGTTCTCTCCCTATTTAGGGGGAGAACCGTCTGCATATTTGCAAATAGGCAGACAGTTCCTCCCCATTGTTATTTTTATTAATGCATTATTATTGAAGTATTTAGATGTTAAATAATGGGTAAGTTTAATATAAATTGATATGAATTAGAAAAAAAATATTTTTAAATTGAAGTATTTAGATGTTAAATAAATGGGTAAGTTTATTATTAATTGATAAAAATGGGAGAGAAAAAATATTGTATTGAAGTATTTAGATGTTAGACAAATTGGTAAGTTTATTATTAACTGATAAAAATTACAAAAAAAAAATTTATGGACATATTAAGATGTTCAATAAATTGATAAATTATTATTGATATAAACTAGAAAAAAATCATCGAAGTATTTAGATGTTTAATATATGGGTAAGTTGATATAAATTAATAAATAAAATGTTTTAGCATAATAATTAATTATTCTGATTTTTTTTAAATTAGATCTAATGTATACTTTTTAATGTGTTTAGTCATTGAAAATAATTAAAACGAATAATTTACTTGATTAGGATAATCATTAGGTATTATATATATTGTGTTGTATTTATTTTATTTATTATTTTTTTAATAAATAAGAATAAAATTTATAAGAAAAAATGATTAATTAATGCATTTTAATACCCAAATGTCATATTTTTGTATAATGAACAGAACAGAACAGAACAGAAACTTTATTACTTGGTTTAAGCATAAAAAGCTCATCACCATATTAAATATACAAATACAACATATAATACATAAATGACACATGACATGAATATATATAATTACAAAATAATGGTTTATGTGATGTGAGAATGTTTAATTTGAGATACGAAATTACTTAAAAAACATATGAATACATGTATATAATACACAAGAATTGGCCTATCTTTACCAAACATTATCAATTTAAGCTACAATACATTTTCTTTTATGTGAATACAAAAAAAGCAAACTGTGACAAATGAAGGGGGATAACTTAGGTAACTTTACGTAACCAGTATTTTAACATTTACTTCCCCTTAATAATTCATGATCAATATTAATAGAATTCATTTCTATATGAAAAATGAATACATTTACTGATTTTGTACGTTTTTTTTTATATATATAAAGAAAAGAAAAACCCACACAAAACATACCAATACCCAAAACAACTAACACTTGACTTAATTATAAGGATTAGTTTTGTCAAAACATTTTATCATGGTATTTATATTTGGTTATGTGTTGAAAAACAGATATAGTTAATTTCAGAAGATACAAATATTAATAAATAAATAAAATAAAAATATATGTATATATGTACAATTTCATATTCACATATAACTTTACAAATCTACATGATGGATATACAATGCGCATTTAACAGTTACAATGATACTTTTTTCATTTTTTTTTTTAAACAACCGAAAAAAACAGAGAAAGAGAGTAAAGCTTACATGTCAGTATATTATAACAAACTATCCCTCAATTTAAAAGCTTTATCACAGAATATAGCTAAATTTTTCAATTCTTTCTTGCGACCAGTTTGCATTAATGAAATGAATTTAAACATACTTGTGTTGCAATAATAGTATCTTGGAATATATTGCTTTCTTAACTCAGAATATATCGGACATTTAAGGATAAAGTGAAATTCATCTTCTATATCATTCATATAACATAAAGTGCACTTTCGTTCATTCCTTGGTACATTATTATGTCTTCCTAACTCGATATTAAGTTTGTGTGAGGAGAGTCTTATTTTTGCTAAAACATTTCTATATTTTACATTTTCAATATATTTTATATATAACGATTGTTCAAATGTAATCTTATATTCCCTATATACATCTAACAATGATGAAGATTGAATACCATCATTCCAACAACTTATATAAATATCCCGTAATCTATTCCTAAAAATAGGTACAAATAGTTTTATATTAACAGAATCGGGATATAACCAGACTTCATTAAATCCTGCTGACTGAAGAATGTTTTTAACTTTTGAAGCCCAGTTTGTTGAACAATTTACCACATCAACATCATATATCTGTCTACACAATATTGTTCTCAATATACAATTATCTTTTTTACTTGTATTTAACTTAAGAAAATATTTAACCATACGAATATGCCTTTCAATGTAAAGAGGAAATCTCCCCAATTCTGCATATAATGCCAAAGTATTTGTCGACTGTTTAACATTTAAAATAAACCTACAAAATTTTTTATGTACTCGTTCCAAAACTTCTGCATTCATAAACCCCCATACTTCACAGCCATAATTTAAAATTGATAAAACATAAGCGTCAAAGAGATTAAACATAATGTTAACTGGTACTTTGTAGTCACGTAACAATTGTAACAATGAATATAATGATCTGAGCCCTTTCCCAGCTAACGTCTTTGTAGCTTGCATGAATGACCCACCACTCGTGAATACCACACCTAAGTAGTTAAATGAATTTACTACCTCGACTTCTTGATTATTATAAAACCACTTATCCATATTACCAAGTCTACCACCTTTTCTGAATACAATTATTTTTGTCTTTTCAACATTTACCGTCAAATTCCAACGATTACAATAGGACAATAAACTATCAAGTGACTTCTGCAAACCGGACCTAGATTCTGAAATGATGGCGGCATCGTCAGCAAATAACAATAAATAAATTGATATTTGGTCGATATTAAGACCAACGTCAATATTTTCTTGCAGGTGTAATTCGATATCATGCAAGAACAGGGAGAAAAATATCGGAGAAGTTATCTCCCCCTGGAATAGACCAATGTTACTATTGAAGACATCAGATAACGTTCCTAGATGTTTAACACACAATTTCACCTCATTATACATTGATCTTATAATTGACAAGAATTATGAATATGAAGAAAGGTGTTCAATACACATGTGCATTAAGTTTGCTGTCAGAGATAATTAAGGTGTTTATTCATTCATTACTCAAGAATCAAGGTGTTGATTAGATTAATATAGCTGTGAAAAGATGTTGAGGACTAAATATTTTTAGTAATTATCTGGTCTTATATATTGTTTCAAGTGAATGTCTACATTTCCTTTAATCAATTTTGTATAAAAGTAAATGTGAAATTTGATTGCATACCAGTTGTTGATTATTTATTTTCTAGAACATACTTGTTACCATGTTATTTGCTATTTAACAAATAAATAAATATCACTTGACCTTAACATAATTACAGGTGTATATCATAATCAATCACTGTCCAGTTATCTTAATCTCTCACAATGAAGGTGTTGATAGGATTAAAATACATAAAAAAATGTGTTAAATTTACAAACACTTTTCAGATAAACATAAAATGCACTTAATATCAAACACATTCTTTACATAATCTTCATTAAGAAATGTTATAAGATTATGTCAAAACTAAAATGATAACTTATAAAAATAAAATTGGGGGAGAACTGTCTGCTTATTTCAAATTTGGGAGAGAACCGTCAGGGGAGGAAACGGCTTGGGAGAGAACTGTCAGGGTGAGGAACTGGTAAGGGAGAGAATAGTCTGTCATTCTCTACGAATAAGGTTTCCACATCACAGTTACCAGGATGTTAGTTTGATAATCCTGTCTATAATGTCATTCATTATTTTCTTGCATATCATTTTCTTCCTTCGTGGCTGATAAAATTTACTGAATGGAGGATAGATAAACACAAATTTGAAACGATGGTGCTTGGAAAAATCGCGAAATCATATCACATCACAATCAATATTGGAATCTAAATTACACACTTGAAAATATACTTACGTAGATAAGGATAAAATCCTTATAGGATGATTCCCTTTTCTCGGCAGGCACAAACATCTTAATTTGTATCTATTTATAAGAAAAAGTAAAGAAATGACTTATCAGAACATGGGCGCAGACATCTTGAAAATATGTACTTACTAATTCATTATATTCGTACCTAAATTACTTCGTACTTTTCTGCATATTTCGCTTTTCGTCTGTTTAGGCAGAGGTCGTAACACATGTGAAGAAACTTGTAGCACTAACTCGCTGAAATTAGGCAACATCATACGAGTGGCGGTATCACATACCACAAGATGAAAATAAATCCTTTATTTTTGGAAAAAAATCTGTTTATTATGTTTATTATATATTTTTTTTCTCTTTTTGACATTTAAATTTCAGTCACCAGGGAAAATACGGAAAATAAGTTTTCACTGCAGTGAAAAAAATATTTTTTTTACAGTGAAAATACGGAAAATGAAAATACGCATTTTATTTCATCAATATTCCTCAATATTTCATTTATAAGTATGCACTGGAATTATCGTATGTCCCAGGTATGCAATAAACTAGGTCTATTCCCTTTTTGACCTGCATAAATAATGATATATAACAGTTATAATTAATAGTATGTTAATTATATTAAAAAAATTGCTTCTGAGACAAAAAATAAAACGGATTCAAAACTTCTCTAGTGTGGTTATATAGAGGCCGTTGGTGTGCATGCGTGTAATTTCTAATCAGAAAAATGCGGTATTTACCAGGTTTTAACTACAAAAAAACAAGTAACCTTTTTATATAAAATATATCATCATACAACCGATCCAGTTAAATCATCAAAAACTGTGAGTTTAGACAGAACAGCTCAAATAAAAATGTTTAAGAAAATTCTGACATGGGATAACTAATTAATTCTTTCACGAATAAAGCCAACGGGATTCTCGGAATTGTATATATATCTTATATAATTTGCTACACCGAAATATATTTTTTTCTATTTTTACATTTGTATTATTGGTTTAACTGGCCTGACCCTATACTAAAGGCAAACCACATATGGTCCCAACTGGTTCAGGGTTAAGCTTTTTGGAAACAGAGGCAAAATTCTGGAAATCAAGTGGCATGATATTTCTAAGTTTTACATACTTTAATTCATAAATATGTGCAAGAGAAGATGTGGTCAGAGAGCTAGAAGATCGATTATTTTGTATCAGTTTTTTTACATTCATAATAATAAAACCATTAAAAAAATGATGAAGTTAAAATAATAAAAGTAATGATTTTAAATTCTCAATAAATAAACTTTGTTTTTCTGAATGGAAATCAAATTGGGACAAAGCTGTATTTAAAAAGCTTCATAAAATAAACAAGTTCTTCTTCTTAGATGTGGAATTGGTCAAAGCAAAGTTACACGTTGTTGCCTTTTAACAGAAGACTATGGAGACGATTCTCCATTTTGTAGACCTTGCAATGAATATTTTACTGTCAAACATTTTGATCTTGCACATGTTAATGATATATTTTATTGAGTCAATTCACTTAGAGAACTTTTCGCCCCAGTTCCATCAAAACCCCTGATCGTTTATTTTAAGGAAGTTACTTGTATTCTAAGAAATATAATTACCCTTTTAAGACCTACTTTAGTTTACGGCGCGGTATGACCACTAATGTGTCAATGTCGCCGTTAAACCCAAACAAACAAACAATTAAAATAATAAAAACAAAAGGTTTTTTTTTCTAACCGTCATTTAAATACTAGTAGTTAGAACGTTCGAACACGCATTACATCACATCAAACATTGACTGTTCTAAAACCACCTCTTCCCAAAATTAAAGATATACTATGCTCGTCCTTGAGTAAAATATTTTTGTCAAATAAATGTGTTTAAATCTTCATAATTCTTACTGAATAGGTCTAATTTGAATAAAAGAATTAATAAACTTTATATGGAAAGCTGCGTTCTCTATCTAAGAACATGTAAAATTGACATTTCCTTAAAGAAACTGCCAGTTTTTTAATGGCACTATACAGTATATTCATATTGTGACTACCTATAGTGTGAAGAGTTTAAAAAACATAACATATCTACTTTGTGTGAAGTCAAAACATGAATATTTTATATTTACAAAGAGACTGTGAGGCAATTTACAATATTTTCTAATATCAAACTTGAGCATAGTATATCTTTAAACATAATTATATTATAAATCATTGGTTTAAGTCTGAGAATGGGCCATGTCTGCTGTGAAGTTGCTTGCTGATGCCAAAAAATTTTAACGGGTAAAATGATTAAACTACCGTTTATAATCTTGAATCACATCACATATTAAACTGTCAAGTAAGAGTTTTAGACAATATCTCCCGGCGTTATCGGGGTCTTTCTAATGTCGACAAATTAAGATTTGGGGATAAACGCAGCAACTCGTTAAAGATAAGAAGCAAAATACTGACAGTTACAAAAATATGGATATGTCACAATTAATGTAAAATTAATGAGATCAAAGCGGTGATATAAAATATATCTAGTAACTATAGGGTGCTAGCGGTTATATCACAAATATGATCGCAGACTTGACACATTGCTTGGTGCTTGTAATACAAGTGGGACGCTCGCTTGTTTGTTGTTGTTGTTGTTGTTGTTGTTGTTGTTGTTGTTGTTGTTGTTGTGATGTGTTAATAACTTATTATTTTGTTATGTGTTATTAAAGCGCCCGTTTGCCAAAGAAATGCTTTTATTCTTACCTCTCCAAAACTTTTATTTTTTTGGTATTCTGTTATAGTTTCAAAAAAAAGTTACTCATTAGCCAAAAACATTAACCATCTATTGCTTCTGATGCTGTATTTATATGTATATATTCAAAATACTACTTTGTTTACATTTTGCTACTTTATGATAATCAGTGCTACTTTCCTCTGGTAATAAGCATTCAACATGCCCTCAAACCATCATATTAACGTTATCAAACGTGTATTTACCATTTATCTATGTATTTATTTATTTATTTATCTTATTTATTTATTTTTTCTATTTATCTATTTATTTATTTATTTATTTATTCATAATTATAATGCTCCTCCTCCTCATTATCCTATCGATCATCAACAACAACAACAACATCATCATCATCATCATAAAATTTCGCTCCCAAAAATCAACGCCGTAATTGTTGGTGCAGTATAAATAAACATTTTATTCTACACTAAGTCTTATAATATCAAAGTTATGTTGTTTTAAGGAGCAACACGTGGCTTGTGTGTATTACCAGTATACTCGATTTTTTTGTTGCTGTTGCTTTTGTTGATGTTTGTGATATTTTATGACGTCACGATGGCAGACCAACTTTTATTTCAGGATTCAAACATTTTTTACGAAAACGTATTGTAATATGAATTCCATCATTATTGTTTACAAATCAAATGTGATAAAAAGTTAATTGGAATTATCTAAACAATTCGTTTGAAAAATTGTCACAATTTTCCAATACCGACGAAAGCTTTTCGATTTTTAAGTATTTTTTTTTTGCATATTTAGAATTTAAGACACAGAGCTAGTTCCGCAAGATAAAAAAGGGTGCATCCCCCCTCTTCGACTCCAGCAAGGATCTACACAGCCGTGGGTTGGGAAAAGAATTGCAGACATGCATGCGTGGAGAAGAGTAGATTGTATCAAACAATGGCGTAACGAGGGGTATAACAAGTCTTGATGTAAAGCACACTTTATCTATTTATCTGGTCATTATCTCTAATTAATAATCATTATAGAAACACCAGCGAACAATTCCACAAACGAAGAAAAGGAGCAAACTGGTAGAAGTCGCAGGTGAAGATGTAACACGTGACGTAAGAACATGTATGAAAGTCGTCTGGCGAAAAAATATATGCATCGAGAATTCATTCGTTATTATTCAATATTGGAATGAATATCTTTGATTTATGACTGCAAAAAAAACCCAAACAAATACTAGTAGTATCTAAGTTCTGACTTTGTAAATCAAAAATAAAACGGTTAACGACAGTGACCCATTGGATATAACCGTTTTTGAAATTCAAAAGAAAGATGCGTTTTTAAACACAAACTTCGTTATTATGTCTTATCAATGATTAATATTTATTACTTATTTATTTATTTTTTCTTAGATGAGTTGAATATTTGGTAAAGTTATATAATTCTGAAGTTTTAAAATCAAATTTGTTGTGTTTACGTTTGATCCTTATTATTAATAATCAAATGTCACGACAGAAGTGCACTTAAATTGACTCCAGTGTGTGTTTATTTTTATTTTTGTTTGTTTTGTTGATTTTTTTAAGATGGGACTGGATCTGTTTTGTTCAATAGTTTATACCATTTCATGTAGGTCTGTAACAATAACTTGTGTATATGCAAAATTTCAGATCATTTGCTTACAAGAATAGATCTACCTTTTTATCAGGTAAAATGACATTAAAATGAAAAGTGTTTAAACGCTTTTGAGGCTAAGAATCGCATTTAATATCGATTTCTAATTTATTTCTGAGAACATTTCTTAAAATATTACCTCTTTCAAAATTTACCGTTTTAAATGCCCTAAGTGATCTATGTATAAGAATTTCAAATTTCTTGTTTCTATGCTTTTGGTCCTCGGTTGAGCTACTCTAGGAGGAAGAAAATCATTAAATTAAATTAGAGGCGCGTCATGACAAAACCAACATAGTGGGTTTGCGACCAGCATGGATCCAGACCAGCCTGCGCCTCCGCGCAGTCTGATCAGGATCCATGCTGTTCTCTATCAGTTTCTCTACTGGTTATAGGGTTTGTAAGCGAACAGCATGGATCCTGATCAGACTGCGCGGAGGCGCAGGCTGGTCTGGATCCATGCTGGTTGCAAACCCATTATGTTGGTTTTGTCATGACGCGGCTCTGATTTTTTAAGATTGCTTACCATTTCTAAATTTGTGTAGTTAAATTGATGATCCATTATGTCGCAATAGAAGCTCGAGAGACACGTGCGCTCCACATCTGGATTCGGTATATACTTTTTTTGGGGGGGGGGGGGATGATGCAGTTACAATTAAGAGGCGTTAAATTGTATCTTGTAACAAGACAATGACACGTTATTTCAAGTGGCAAACACGTTTCTAATTTGTAGTTTTGAAGTACATTTAATAGTTTTCAT